TTCCTTTACGGTTGTTTTCTTTCTCGTGTGGTCGCTTTTGTGTCACTTTCTATCTTTATTCATCATTTTTATTCATTTGTCATCATTTCATTTATTTTTAGTTCATTTATCTTTGAGCTTTTTGTGGTTTCTTGGTCATTTCTAGTATTTTGTGGTCATTTTTACTCCCCTTCTGTTTGTTTTCCACGTCTTGATCATTTTTAGCATCTTTGTGGTTGTTTTTCATTATTTGTGACACTCGCCCATAATATTGATGCTGAAAGTTGGTTATAGAGGAAATGAACAGAAACCAGGTCCAGTGTTCAGACTGAGACACCTGGATGGATGTAGAACTGATCTGGTGTCAGGTTCTAGCAGAACTCAGATGTGTTCTTCCTCCTAAATGTCATGTGTCTATCTGCTGTACTGATAAAGTTCTGAGGCTCAGAAATGATGGAAAAAGTCCATTAAGGTGATCAATCTGGACCCTCCTCTGTGGACTTTAACAACATCTGGGTGTCTGTGTCGGTTCTGCAGGTGGTGAAAGCCTTCGACCACAAGTCTCAGGCCCACGTGGCTCTGAAGATGGTCCGCAACGAGAAGCGCTTCCACCGGCAGGCGGCCGAGGAGATCCGGATCCTGGAGCACCTGAGGAAGCAGGACAAGGACTCGAGCATGAACGTCATCCACATGCTGGAGAACTTCACCTTCCGGAACCACATCTGCATGACCTTCGAGCTGCTCAGCATGAACCTGTACGAGCTCATCAAGAAGAACAAGTTCCAGGGCTTCAGCCTCCCGCTGGTCAGGAAGTTCGCCCACTCCATCCTGCAGTGTCTGGACTCGCTGCACAAGAACCGCATCATCCACTGCGACCTGAAGCCCGAGAACATCCTCCTGAAGCAGCAGGGACGCAGCGGCATCAAGGTCAGGAGGCCGAACCAGGAAGCACGACGCCGCTTCCGTCCTTCAAATCCCAATAAACCGTCTCCTTTGTCCCCCCGCAGGTCATAGACTTTGGTTCCAGCTGCTACGAACACCAGAGAGTTTACACCTACATCCAGTCCAGGTTCTACCGAGCACCAGAGGTCATTCTAGGTGAGAATGAGAAGCTCTCTGTTGGCTTCAGCTACGAAAGGTTCTGATAAAGCCGAGAACAGCGACAGATATCATAGATTTAATCCCCATAATGTTGTATTTTAATTAGATATGTCCACTGGTTTCCATTAGTTTCTGTTCTAATTAACTTTTCAGCCACTTTCAACTCACAAAATGTGATGTTTTAAGTTAAAAACTCTCAACATAAACATCATTCGTTGGGCTTATATTGTCCAACTATTTGGTCTGTGCACATTTTTGTTTTTAATATTTACAATAATTCCACTGAAAATTCTGCAATTTTTGTCCAAATTATAATAATTATTGTCCAAAATTTGCCTGAAATGTTAATCCTGACAAATTAGCGTTTCTCCAAATTTAACATTTATGCATCTTTACAGAACTAATTTAAATATTAAGATTCAGACCATTTTATTTGTGTATAAAGACTAATTTAAGTTCTAGAGGAAAACAGCCGACATCATCGTATATGCCACAGTTTTACTCGTTTAGACTGATAATCATCTGGTCCTTAACGAGAATCACACAAAACTCCAAGACAACAGTATGAACTGGACAGGGAAGTTGAAGCACCTAAATGTTGATGTGGTGGATCATCCAAGGTTCTGATTACGGTAGAACATCCGTCCTTTGGTCTAACAGTTGGGTCTGTGTTCCGTCCAGGCTCCAGGTACGGGATGCCCATCGACATGTGGTCTCTGGGCTGCATCCTGGCCGAGCTGCTGACCGGCTACCCGCTGCTGCCGGGCGAGGACGAAGCCGACCAGCTGGCCTGCATCATCGAGCTGCTGGGCATGCCCGGCCAGAAGCTCCTGGACGCCTCCAAGCGAGCCAAGAACTTTGTGTCGTCCAAAGGCTACCCGCGGTACTGCACCGTGACCACGCTGCCCGACGGCACCACGGTGCTGAACGGCGGGCGCTCGCGGCGGGGGAAGGTACGGGGCCCGCCGGGCAGCAAGGACTGGAGCGCGGCGCTGAAGGGCTGCGACGACCCGCTCTTTCTGGACTTCCTCAAGCAGTGTCTGGAGTGGGACCCGGCGCTCAGGATGACGCCCAGCCAGGCGCTGCGGCACCAGTGGCTGAGGAGGCGGCTCCCGAAGCCGCCGACGGGAACCACCGTGGGGGAGAAGACCTCCTCGTCCAAACGGGGCACCACCACCACCGACGGCGCCTTCACCTCCATCTCCAAGCTCGCCACCACCTCCTCCACCACCACGTCCTCATCCTCCAAAACCAGGACTAACTTGGCGGCGATCACCGACGCCAACGGAAACATCCAGCCCAGGACGGTTCTGCCCAAACTGGTCAGCTGAGAGTGAATGCACCCCGCTCGCTGTGGTGGGAAATGAAAGCTGTGCTCGTGAGCGGCCAGCTGGAACTGAATTAAACTGGACTGTCCAGTTGTGAAGAGCGTTTGGTTTTGTTCAGCGTTGTCGGGGTGCGTTCAAGACAAGTACAGTCGTGGAAACTTGGCGTTGTGGTGTTAAAATGTGCAGAGTGGCCAGGCTGGGATGTGAGCTGGGCTGAAGGAAACCTGGTGAAACTGGGGTGCGTTCAGACGCCTCGAATTCTCAGTCCTGTCTAAAAAAAAACAAACAAAAAAAGACACGAGTTGTTCTACATTTTGAGCGGCAAGACAGGAAGCGACCACACGTCTGAGATGACGTGGAGCTGCTCAGACAATCAGAACACACCACACCACTCTGTAGCTCCAAACCCACAAACACATCACAAAACATGGTGCTCATGGAGGGAACAAGGCTTTTTAAAATGTTTTTTAGCACAGAATCTTTTTAGCTGAGTTGATTACACACCAAAAACAACATTTTATGACTTCAGTCTTACGAGGATATATGTCCCGAGGGCTTTACAGAGAAGGTTTACGAAGGTGGATCCAAAGGTTCTGACGCTTTGCCTGTACGAACTTGAATTTGAATTTGGCAACCGTCCCCTTCAAAGTATTGTGCAGCGACACTGTGCTCCCAGTGCTCCTGCAACACTCGTAACAGTCCCTGGAAGTCCCTCTATGTGAACATATCAAGCACTGCAGTGGGAACCGAATTTCCTGAACTGTGTCAAAGTGGCGACCCCTCAGCTCGAGTTCATTTTGGGATAAGAGGAGGAAGTCATGCGTAACACAGGGTTGCTTCACGAATGCTGCTAACTGTTAGCAATGAATACGCTAGCGAATAGCAGCGTTAGCAGCAAAGATGACCCTAGAAAAAGTGCATCGTGGCTGGTTGTTCAATATTTTCCTGCTACATACCCTCGAAAACAGCGTAACAGCCCAATTAGCAGCGTTATAACAGGCCGCTACGCTGTTATGACGCTAGCAAGAACCCTGGTCACATGACATCCTGACGTGTTTCACGACCACGACGCTCCACAAACCGTCTCAGAACACTTTGGTCACCTCTCGTATGTAGTTGACAGACAGAAAAGGTTCATATATCCTTATAATGCTAAAGCTGTGCAGCAATTAGCTTGCTGGTTTTTGTTTAATGTCAGACAAATAACTTTGTGTTGCTTCTCAGTTTGGGGGGACGCCGTCAATATTTACGACTTAAATGACGCGTAATCAAAGATCCGAGAACCCCGGCTGAACCATCTACCTGTTAGCTGGCTAACTTTCTTAGCTAGTGTTTGTTTTACAGCGTGTAGCTAGCCTGTGTTCTCATGCTAGCATAGTGCCTGTCAGCTGGCTAACTGTTAACTGGCGCTGGTTAGTTATTAGACAGCTATTTGTTTGTGCTTAGCTGTTGTATCGCTACCTATTTGCCGTTTAACTGGCTAGCAGTTAGCCCGGCGACCGTTCAAGTCAGTCAGCTAGCGACAGCTGGCTCACTGTTTTAGCCTTTTTTGGGCAGTCTGGTGGCTAGCCTTAGCCTTTTTTAGCCATAGCATGTTAGCTCTCCACTGCCTGGCCTTACGAAGCACAGACAGAATGACGAAACGTTTTTAATTTCCACACTTTAGTGTTTTAGCATGTTTTTGTTGTAGGGTTAGCAGAACAGGAAGCAGGACAAAAACGCCTGAAAAGAAGGATGTTGAGGTTTACAAACGCCATTTTGTTCCTCTTTTGATGAACTTAATGTGATGATTAAGGGGACAAAATGGCCGTTGGAGGAGCGGCGAACATAGACAAGGTGGACGAAAGGTGGTTTTACGGACAAGTTATAAATAATCACTCAGATCAAAGGGCTGCTTTAACCCTCTGAACCCCGAGTAGCTTCTGGGCTTCATTTGCTCCCGTCATGCTTTGAAACTGAAAAAACCTGGAATCACACGTGCATGAGGACTTTAGGTTCTATATATATATATATATATATATGTATTGGTATTTGCATGTTTACAACCTCTACTCTGCGTTTCAACGCTAGAACCTGGTTTCACCTGAAACTAGCAGTCTGGCTGACAACCTGCTGCTCTGTTCACCGTTTTTGAGCCGCATTTTATTCTCCGCTACTTCTGAACTAGTTTTGGCAAATTTTCAACAAAACACACAGAACAAAGTGATTTTGATTTAAAATAATCACAATTTTAAGCTTATATTTGGTTTACTATTGGAACAACATGACTTGTTTATGATTGGCTGTAAATTGTGTAATTTTACTGCTTTTTTTTTATTTTTGTAAAGACAAAAAACCAAACAAACAAACCCTAAAACATGCCGATAAAACCTGCTGGCGGGTTCTCGGGTTCGGAGGGTTAATAGGACAATAGGAAATAACTGAGTTGTGAATTAAAAGGGGGTAAATCAGTTTTAAATAATAATGTTATTGCTGGGAACAAATAAAAAGGAGGACACAGAAACCTCAGGACACCAACATATAACAAAACAGTGTTGGTTTAAATTGGGAAGCACAGACAAATGGAACTTCACAGCTTTAAATCGTCTATTTAATCCATTTGAAAGGTGTTTTTATGCGCGGTGATAGCCAAACGTTAGCTTCCATATCGGCCAAGTACAGAGAAATGTGTGACGACCAATTTTAAGGCTGTTTGACTGTTAGCGTGACGAACTCAGCCGACGTGTAAATAAAAAAACATAGAACAAAACTTCTGTGATCCGCGAACTCAAAACGTGCCGCAACAAGCGGGCGGAAACGCTTCAGTCAACGCTGCAGCTAGCATGTGATGCTAGCATGTGAGTGAGTTATGCTTCTCCAAAGATCGACGACTTACACAGACGTCCACTAGGGGGCGACGTCACATTTATCAAACTAGCCGCTAGCTGTTGGACGCACAGGTCGTTGGGATTTAGGGTTCCTTCAAAGTAATAAACACCCATCAGAGAATTTAGGTGTCAAAATAAAACTCTTGTCCTTTTTAAAAAAAAAGGGCCCATTCACAGCAGAACGTGTAGAACGCTTTATTTGTTTTTATGTGTTTCTGGAGCTCGTAGCGCAAATTTTAACAGAATTTCGGGGATAAAAAAAAACAAAACAAAAAAAACCTTTGATTACCACAATCTCATCAACCCATACTCGAAAGAGTAAAGGTGCTAACCGGAACCTTCTCAGCAATGCCATAGAAGAACCATTCCACGAAGAACCTTTTAGCAAGAGGTTCTCTCGAGAGCCATTTCTGCGAGCCGTTCTCTAAGAACCCCCAACGGTGCCTCAAAGAACCATCGAAAAATGGTTCCTGTAGGTACCACAGATGGCGCGCAACAACTTTTCTTTAGGAACCATTTTTTAGGCTCGTTCTTTCAAATGGTTCTTCAGTAGTTTATATTAAAAAAGAAAAGAAAAAAAAAATTCCGCGCTGGTCGGAAATGAGTTGTTTATTAACGTTCTTTACGTATGTTTGGAACATCAGATTCAGAGACGTACAAAGTAAAAAAAGCAAAAGCCGTCGCTGTGACGCGGAACGTAGAACCCGAAATTAGCTCAAACTAAAACCCGAGAAACCCCGAATCCACGTGGATGTTCAAAAGTTTTTATGTATGAACTGTAAACGTAAAAGTCGGAAGCGTCAGTGAGTCTTCCGTTAGAATATTTTGGGTTCTTGGTAGAACGGAACATCATGTTAGAAGGTGCCAGCTTGGAGTTGGTGGAACTGTGACGGACTTTTCTCGATGCTTTCGGACCTTTTGTAGAACAAATCAGCTGTGATTTAACGCCACCAAACCAAAAAACTAATAAAAAAAAATGAAGAACACGTTAGTATGTAGATGACCTTCCGCTAAATTTAGAGGTTCTCCAACTGGTTCTGAGCCCTCTGGAGAACCTTCGTCCCTGTTGTGAGAACGTCGCCTCTTGCTGTGACTGAGCCCTGATACCATGAAATCAGTTTTATTGATCCAGCAGCACAGAAATTAATCGTAGCGCAGAAATACGGTGGAATCGATTAGAGATGAGGAGCAGGAAGTCACTGCTCACGTATTGATCAGTGTTGACGATCTATCGGTGTGATCGGGGGGGCGGGGGGAGGGTTAGAAGAAGCTTTTTATTTATTTGCTACACGTTCATATTTATTAATCTACATATTTACTACGATGATGTGCGGTCCGTACTGTATACTTGAATGTGTGTGTGTGTGTGTTGTATGTAGCAGTGTGTGTGCAATATGGAGGTTTTCTTAAAGCTTGTTCCCTCACACAGACACACATATTTATATATATATCGGTATATGTACACAAACGCACACACGGCTGAATCTGAACGCACTCTGTGAATCGAGGAGGTGGAGGACGAAGGTGACGAGGAGGAGGAGGGTCGGCGCCGTCGGCCCGGCGACGTAATGTAGCACACAGGAAGTGGACGACGAAGGGACTCATGATGTTGAACACAGACGCTACCTGCTCCGCCCATCTCAGGGGAAGCTCCGCCCCCTCCCGGAGGAAAAGGAGGAGGAGGAGGAGGAAGAGGAGGAAGTGTGTGTGTGTGTGTGTGTGTTTTTGTTTATTCTAAGGATTTGATTGGTTTGGTTGTGTTTTGTGTTTTTATTTTTGTTTCTGTGAGACGGAGTGCTGAGAGTCGTAACTTTGTGCCTTCAGTATCCCATCGCCACGCCACGCCCGCCCAGCGCGCACACACCAACGGAGGCGACGTCGCCATGACAACAATCACTTAGCATCGCGCGACGCGACGAGTCTCGGCGGCCGAAGTCTGCGTGCTGATTGGCTCGGGGAAGGCGACCGGGTTGGTGTAAAATCTTTTGAACGCGATGTTTACTCAACTGAACGACTTACGTGATGTTGCTCTGCTTCTGAGGAACGTAGCAGATAGAACGGTGGAGGTTCGCTACGCTAACCTGTACACAACGGTGCTAACTGGAACCCAAAATGGTTCTTTGTCGTGATGCCATAGAAGAACCACTTTTAGTTCCATAAAGACCCTTTAAACAAGAGCTTCTTCAAAGAACCCCCAAAGGTGCCTCAAGAAAGGGTTCCTTTGGGCACCCTAAGTGGCGCTCCCAAGAACTTTAGCTGTTTGTGGACCCGCATGACTCAGTTTTGATAATAGGACCTAATTTAATTTGCACGATTTCTGGGTGTCTTTCTAGAATGCACTTAATATTTTGGGTTCCTGACTCGTAGTTAGACGGAACGACTCGTTACCAGTCACGGACGGATCCAGGACCCAAACCCAACCTTTGTTTACATCCACCGTCACACGGGTGTCGCACATTAGAATAATTTTCTCAATAAACGCAGAGGCTAAATATGTCACTGGGGCATAGAACCACCATCCCACCTGATCCACGTTACTACGGGTGCTCACCGGCGGTCATTTACCTCCACAAAGGTCTTTGTCATGGTCCTGTTGCTAGCTAAACTCCCACAATGCTCTCTGCTGCCAACCACTTGTAGTCCGAGTGAATCCTCTTCCGGTCGCTTTAGCAGCTTTTACGGAACCAATAATTCAATGAAAACGGCAGATAAACTGATTGAAGACGGCGAGTTTAGCGTCGTAGAAAACTTTGATTCCAACGAGTCTTCACCTGAGAGAAGCTGGAAATTTGTCCTTTAAATTAAAATAAAAAACAAAGATTTTGTATTTGTTAAACCTTCTGAACCCAATAAACTGTTTCTGGTCGTAGAGAAAACTCAAAACAGTTAGAACGTCTTAAAAAGAAAACCGGTTCATGTCCTTTGATAAATTATCTTCTAAACATTTGGAACAACGTTACTCCGACTGCGTTAAACTTTTTCAACTCTCAAAAGATGTCAGTCCTTTTGTTTTTATAGTTGCGTCTTTCGTAAATGGTGCAAAATTTGGCAATTCAAAGAAAACCAGATGCCACGTCTGACCAACCCGCCGGCGGGTTTTGGGGTTCGGAGGGTTTTACAGATTGTTGGGTTTCTGCCTGTCGGAGCGTCGACCTGGACGAGCTGCGAATTTGTGTTGCCAAGAACATTTTTTGTCGCTCCCCTCCAGAGCCAG